CTTTGCAACTTAAAAGCATGTCAATATCGCGGATCAAGATGGGCAATCGCATATCAGCGCAAAACATGACACATGACCTTTATTACTCTTTCATGCAGCTATGAACACCGTTACGCCCTCATGCGAATTTTGGAAAGGACCATTATAATTAGAGGCAACGCCCTGGGACTTCAAGTCATTCTTCTGCTTAGGAGAAGGACACTTTTACCGATATTACAGTGGTTAAGGCCATACCAACCGAGACGGTTCACGTTGTTCAGCAGTAAGATAAAAGTATAAACAATGATAATAACATCTTCTACACTTTATAGCTGGTTCCGCTGTAAAATTTAAATCAGAATTATTCAAAACAGGTCTTCTGATCCTGTCTTAAAAGCTAAAAAACGAGTCGCATAAATTTATTTGGGAATACGTTTTCAACATGTCGCATACATACATTTTCGTGCAAGGAGGATGAACACCTGCAACGTTTCGAAAAGTTGGATCAGATAAATCTGCTCGACTTCTAACAGTGTCTTTAATCACTGGAGCAGATCTTCTGCTTGGAATTATGATAAGCATTTTGAATAAATGCACTTGGGACATAGCAACGTGCAAATACTAAGAAACATTAAATTGATCAGTGAACAGCCCACAAAATTACTCAGAAAGATTTATCGCGAAGTGAGAATTTCACAAATTTACGGTGCATTATTCAAATTAGAATGATTCCCCCCCGTTCAAGATAATTCAGATACCATCAGACAGCAGCTACTCCGCAATACGCGGGATGGCACTACTGTTATAACTTAACAAAAACTGGTCCTTCCTGGCGTTAACTACGACAATTTTCAATGCTTCAGCATAAAGATTTATGAGATTATACAAACTAAGAACCAGGAAGAAAATGTAAAGCTGTCAGGACGAAAAGGAATAAACAATTCTTCAAATTACTATCGATCCTCCTTTAGCCACATTTTTGGATCCACTGCATGAAACAGTCGCACATCATGATCGAGAAGAAAAAGGTACTCTACCAAATATGACCATCTGACCGAAGCTTACACCTTTACCATATACTACTAAAATACCATAGTCAATATTAATTAATTTAACTCAATAGCGCCATGCATAAGAAATTTACATAAAAAATTATGATATCGGATTGAAACGGCGAAAATGCGCCGTTAGAAAAATATCTTACAATTTCTTACAAATTTTACAATCTTACAATACAAGAAAAATTTCTTACTTTACATCAGTAGCCCTATTGCACCGGCCTCTTGCTTCTAGATGCCTAGAGGAACCACCTGAGCAGGCCACGACTCCATGGTATTTAACCTGTACTTTTAACTTTAACTTATACTTTTGTTCAACCCAAGTTTATGACGCGGTCTTGCGTCCTATGCACTGCAGGCGCTTAAATATTAAATAAAGCGAGAAATAGACTATTCTTTCTTTACACTGTGCCTTTTCGCCGTTTCAATCTCGTATCATAAATTTTAATGTGATATCAGCGACGGTATCGAAAGCTACCTCAGAACTCCAAAGTTATATTTTGACAATTATAAGAAATTTAATTCACTTGTTCTTAGAAATCTGAAAGGCTTCACCATAGAGCTAGCAACTTCGACAACAACAAAATTCGCTATCATCAAAGCAGATACGAAAATACCCTACTACAATTTTTAACGTTTTTTCTGTGTAAAGCAACTGAATCAAAAGATTGTTCTTCGAATCTTTTAGCACTGAATGAACATGAACTGTCAAAGACACAGGCTAAACTATTAATAAATTTGTAGACAGTAAGAGTGAACTTTTTCTCATTTTATATTTGTCTGCCTTTAGAACATGCTAATCATTTAACTTGGGGACAGCAACTTCAGTTCTTTTTTCTCTTCCCTGTCTCATCACACTTCTGTCTACGAATGGAACAAGTTCCTGAGGTCGATTTAAAAAATAGTTAGATCAGCAGCGATTATATTGTACCATTCTTCGCTGGAGTTAATTTAACAATAACAATAATAACGATGTATTCAAACTGTGGCATAAGGACCATTTCAAAGGGTATGCTATGGTCTGAGCCTTTCGCAATCAAGCTGCCTAGAAAATCTAACAGGTGGACTCGTTGTCCGTTTACGGCAAAAAACTGGAAGCAACGTAATGTCCAGGTAAGATCACCAGATATCACCCTGTTTCCACGCTCTATTTATCTGCAATTGACAAGATAGTTACGATTCTTTTGTCTAGGGTTGCAGTTGGCTACCGACGTTAGGTCGCAATACAATGGTTTGTTAGCTAGCAGGTAGCATTCAGGAACATTCAGGGAGAAGTGATGTTTCATTAATTATATGATCTATTCTTCATGGCCAGAACTGCACGGTCAGCAGAGCTTCATCTGTCAGCAATGAAGTACAAGATTGTAATCATATTCAACAGAAACCAATCACTGAGAGTCAGAAACTTGCCCCAAGCGGGGTCTAGTACTGGAGAAATATTGCTGTCAGTCGCAAGTTCTGATTCAGCATGTTATCCGTACGTCAAGACTTTGCGCTGGAACCTCAAACAGTTGATGGCGCAATCTTTGAAACTGTGTCCAGGTGCAACGAAGTACAAGACAGATATGAATTTGGCGACTGTTTCAAGATCACGAAAGGTTTTTTCACAAGATGCGCCTGCGTGCGTAACCACAGTTTTTGAGTCAATCTCAAGAGTTGGCCTCACAAATCGCATAGCTTCACTGATCTGAGTGAAGAATTTATTCGCGCAACAGTTGGACTTCTGTAGCTTTAAACTATACAGCAGTAAGGCAGAGTAAATGAAGGAGAGATAGAATTAGCGCAGCTGCAACCCAAACAGTGCTCCAGAGATTACAGGCCGGTTTACAGCTTCCGATCTTGGCTTCTTGCTACAACAGTTGAAACCTGGATTACTTTTAACTTGGAATCTAAACGGCTACAGGCCATATTTATGTACAATGGCAGCATAATGATATAAATATCTGTTTGTTCAGGTCATATAAATATATAACTTATGTGGCGGGCTGCGACCGCTCAAAAGCAAACTGTCTTTGGGTTCGTATCGACTGCTACAGTAATAAAATTAACTACTTAAAATTATGTTACTGTAACTAACACGGTTATCATTTCAAAAAATATGAAGACTTTAGGATGACACAGTGCTTCTTTATATTCTGACATTTCGGCTTCCTGTGCGAAAGGTCATTATGACTGTTCACACGCAATATTAAAGTAGATCTCAACTGTAGCATCATGTAATCAGAATTAAACAGAGGATCGTTGTAGCCTTATTTGCCTTTAGAAACCTAGATGAGAGAGGAATTACACTTCCAACAAAAATCTGTTTGTGCCATGCCTCGGTCAGGACAGTGTTGCGGTTCAGTACGTAAACAGCTGTTCGAACGAAAAAGCAAGAAAGACGGTTGAACTGTCTACAGAAGCGCTGGCTTCGACGTATAATGAGGGTTAAATATTAGGACCAAGTAAGAAGTGACTTCCTTCTGTGCTGTACATAGGTAACCTCTGCAGACAGGGATTCAGAGAAGGAGGCTGGCCATGTGAGACAAAATCCAGTCCATGAGCTTCTCGTGTCAGAGCCGAAACACGGCAGACACCGACTAGAAGGCCAGCAGGAAACACGGAGAAACAAAGCAGATCTGCTTTTAGAGAGGAATATTTCATTCTGCGATACAGCAACTGGCGACAGCCAGTGTTGAAAAGTTGCGAATACAGCGGACATCACCAACCAGAGAAATTGTGCTTAGGCAAATGGCTCAAGATGATGGTCTCAATAAACACAATCAGATCAAGTTGAGTGTCTCCAATCCGAAATTTGGAAATCCGTAACATTGCATCCATTCACTTTTCAGTCTTGAGATTTTGTTAAAATATCTTTGGATAATAATAACAACTGACGAAACACCTTTCCCGTCTCTCTTCCACTCAACCTTCCATCAGCAGTCGTAGCTTCTGATGCTCGGCCAATCAGAAATAAGCTTCTCTCCGTCTCAAACGAGGGCCGGATGGTCAAAGGTTATCGAAACTTCTCTACGTCGCATTCATTTCGTCATACTTAGTTTATCTAAGGGGTCAAAAGGGACAACACGTCAAACCCAACCGATGCTCTTACTTGCATTTTATTACGGAAACAGCCCGTTAACTCCTGACTTTCACCCCCTCTTCCTTTCCTTTCCTAAATTCTCCTTCCTTAAAACCTATATAATCTATATGAAAATGTCATTCTGTACCTGAAGATCCTCTGAAGACGCAAGAAACCTGCGTCGTTTCAATTTGTGGAATAGCAGTTTATTTTCTTGTGATTTGTAAGAAGCTGCTACGCCTCTTTCTGGAACACGCGTCACTCTGGGATAGGAACTCACCGTTTCAGGTCATAAGTATTTTTATTAAAAGGAAGTAGATTTGTTATTTTATATGTTTAAGTAGAGAATTTGAGTGAGAAAAAGTATTAAACGGTTTTTATAGTTTATATTTAGGAATTATGTGACCCTATATGAGTTTTTTCATCGACTCCCGTTTCCTTATAGGTACACTTCTACCGTAAGGGAGTTCCGTTTCTTAACACGGTTGTTTCACGGGTATGCAGCAAACCGTCAAACACTCAATGCGATATGTCTGTGGTTACCCTGCTAAGTTTTCTAAAGTCTGAATTTCGCCTAAATTCTCCTCAAGTCCACCAGTATTCCAAAATCAAGAAAAATCCAAAATCCGACAAAATCTTGGTCCCAAGCATTTCAGATTAGGGTTACTCAAC